GTAACTATAGTATTTATTTATTTCAATGGAAAATGTTTCTAATTATTCATATTAAATTTAAGTAGAAAAACAAATTATATATATGTTAAGATTAGAAATAAATTTTATCGTTAAATAAACTGCTTTCCTTTAATTTTCTTCTTATAACTCTACGTATATTATTTTCGAAAAACTTTTACAATATCTTTTGAACTTCTAATTTAAAATACTCAGCAATATTTATTAATATATCAAAAATTAGGCATGAAGAGAAGTGAAATATTTTCTTCTTCTAGAATAATTGTAAAATAAGATTTTACAATCACAGTCACAACTTTATATAAATATTTTTTATAATAACTTATAATAAAATAAAGCTATTTATAAATTGTATGTCGTTATTATTACATGATAGAAATATGCTTTTCCTTTATCGACTTTACACGTTCCTATAATACAAATAAAATTAATTGAGCAAAGTTAAACATTAATCATATTAGACTGACAGAGAAACTGATTAGTAAATAATTAAGATTTAAATAAATTAAATCTAAATTAACTGTATGTTGCTTTAATATTCTGTTTTATGTTAAATTTCGAAAATAGACTGCAGAACAAAAATTAGAGATTTAAACGGTTGTAAGCGTGCATGGAGAAATATACAGTTAGGTGCAAAGCTGCTTTGTTAATGAACTTTTTCTGAATAATCTTCATAAATTATTTAAACTGTACAAAAAAAAATCTGGAAAAGATACTTCATACTTGAATAGCATACATTTACATAAAATATTTATAAAGAGAAAAGAATTGATATTATATTTGACACGCATTCATTCAACTGTTCATAACGTATTCATTTCGTAGAAAAAGAAATGATTTTATATAATAAAATAATTTTAAAAATTATTTCATGTAAATAATTTCACCATTAATCTCATTGATATATCAGTTTCTACGTGTACATTTACATCTTTCCAAGTGATTTCTTTGTGTAAAATTGAAAATTTTGCAAATTTTCTTTTCTGGCAGATATTGAAATATTTCATGAGAAAAATAGCATTAAGAAACATTGAAATCGTATATGAAATAGCTTGACAGCTGACAACAAAAGTAAGAAACATCATATCAGAATGAACCAAATTTACGAACTCAGAAAACTACAATAATAAGAAATGTTGTTTTAAATTATACAAATAAATGGCATAAATTATGGCAACTAATTAAAACATTTTTATGCTAAAGATAAATTAAAATTTGCTTTCGCCCTGATGTTTAGTTTAAATTTTTATTTAAATCTCAAAAGTGTTGGCATATTTAACAGTTTCAAGTTAAACTAAAAGAACGAGATAAAAAAAAAAACAGAAAATATACGTCAACATTGGAATTGAATTTAAGAAAAATATAAAATTATATTTTAAAATGCTTATAATTTATTAAATTAAATCAATTTAACGAATCAGACATTTTAATTATTATTCAAGTCAGATGAAATTTTTAAATGAAGTATTTTCATTTTTTATATTCGATTTTTATATAAATAGTGAAAACCGCTGATTTATTTGTATACAAGAATATTAAGCATTATTATATTATCGTTATATATATATATTAATAATATACAACTGATGTATACTGTAATAAAATTTATGGCAGTTTCTTATTATAAAAATAAATCTTATTCAAATATTGATTAATTTTTTTAAAATTCTTTGTAAATATTCTCGCTTCTTGTCTGTGTTAATACTTCCTAATGTAGCCCAAATTTGACAGATTTTCACAGACTTATCACATCTTGTATTTTAAAATTTAAGAACATATGAAAAATTGCAATTTTAAGAAATATGTATAAAAATTTTGTGTATAAAATTTGAACTGAATTAAATATTTAATAAATAGTTTTTTTTAAGCTTGTGAGTAAAAAATAATAAAAATAATTTTTATAAAAGTTTTTTATAAAATAAATTTATTTCCGTGTAATATATTTCGAGAGAAAACAATACATCAAAACTGTTCCAGAATATTATAGATTTTATTAAAAAAGAATAGTCTTTAAGACTGTAAAATTACTTCACTTCGAATAGAATGAAAATTCTAATATTTATCGCTATTTTCTTTTCTGACAGATGTTTGTAACGATTTTTTATCGTACAAATTTTTATTAAAGTAAAATATTAGATGTTTAAGTCTATCAGTTTCTTTCAGAAAAGTATTGTTAATAAAAATCAATGTATTTATTTCAAAAATAATGTGATTTGAATGTTATATAAATTCATTTAAAATATATATATTATTAGTTTTATTTTATTATTATCTGATTTTATATTTTTGTAGATTTGATAATGTTAAAAATCATTTCTTAATCAAAATAATTTATTAATATAAGCATTGATATTGATGGCATGAACGAAGGAGTCTTTAACAATAATAATAACACGAGTATAAAAATTCACATTTATAATTGAATTCGGATATTTGATACGTATTAGCTATAAATATTTGATTTAGACAAATCTTTAATTTGTCTAAATTATTATGAGACTGACTCGCTTTGTATAAACAAACTGTAAAACTTATAAGAAAAATTAAAGTATATTCAAGAGAAGTATTGAGGCAATTATAGCAGGAGGGAAAAGAGTTGAAAAAGTGATATGGAGATGGAATGGAAAGGTTTAGAACACAGATAATTAAAGCGTTTATGACAAAATTAAACAATAGATACTCTAATTTATAGGAAAGCTAAAGCCAATGCCAAAAAATCAGATATAGATAAATTCAAAAACTAGCAGGAATTTTGTAAAAACTCGAAGAAGAAAAGTTAGAAGAAAAATAAAGTTTCTGAAAATGTAGTTCGCTTCGGGANATTTCGTAGTAGATGCAAATACAGTAAATAAATAAAAATAAACATATTTTTTCTTAAGAAACAGTGAAGAATTCTGCTGAGTTGTATAGTGTCTATGTACAATATTGTAAATATCAATAGTTTTCTGTAAATATTTTATGTAAATAAATATACAGTTTGTAATAATATAGATTCTTGACTAAGTTATTGATGTCTGCTCTGCCAAAAAACGGAAATACGCAGCTGTAACTCCTTCGGGAAGAAATCCAGGATAGCAAGCGTGGAGTCAACTGACCAACTTCCGGATAACCGAATAGATTGGAGAAACCTCAAAAAGAACTTTGCGAGAAAGCAACCACCGAGTAAAGTTCTGAACTTTAGTAATATAAATACTGTACCAATTTAATTAAATTAATATAAATATTATTTAAAATATGAAATAAATTTATTTTAATACTAAGGAATAAATATTATAATTTAATTTTCTTAATTTGCGATAAGAAGAGGTTAAATTCTATTAGCAAACAATTTAATTATCGAAAAACGAGCTTAATTAAAAATTGGTTTTCCAAGACCGATTATTTATACTATCATAGGCATATTCAGTATATCCTGTTTTATATCAAACAGCATGCAAAATAATTTGATTGAATTAAGAATAAAAATACTGTTTTTAATTTTGTAACGTTTCCTAAACAGTTTCGTAGGAGTAAATCTTCAAAGATTGACAATAAGTTCGTAACTGATAAATAAATATTAAATATATTTATTTTGGTTTATTGATTAAATTCTTCGGGTAATTTTAGTGCCTACAACATCATTTGAATTTAAAGTTTTATGACTGAAAACTCATTAGTACAGGTTCACTAGCATTCGTTTCGTCAAATTGAATGTTTATCGTGTAAAGAATAGACAAAAATATTATAACATTAATTATAAATACAGTATTTCATTTAAAAGGTTTGAAAGTGAATATAGTAAATCATATCTTACAAATATCATTATTATTCAAAACTGAATAGAATTATTAAGATAAATATTATTTTCAAAATATTTTCTGAATAAGTAAACCGTTTGCCATTATTATGTATATCAAGGAATCTGTTATTACTAATAAGATTAAATATTTAAAATTAAATTCCTAAATTCATAAGGGAAATAATTTAAAATTTGAATAAATGAAGCAATATAATTTTAAATATGTTAATATTTACACTTACTCAAATTTTAAATGTTATGATATTTTGTTGAATTCACTCGTAGTTACGGCTAGCATTTTAACGCACTTAAAGATAATTTTAAATGTGTATTTTGCTTTTATACTTTTATACAAATAAATTATACTCTATAACTCTTGCCAGAGAGCATGGCTCAGTATAGCAATTACTATTAAATAAATAAATAAAAATATTTGTTGTATATGTAAATATAGTATCATACAAGTAGGTCATATCTAGCTTTTATTTGTAATGTCATATATTTTGTAAAAATATTTTCTATTTAACGTGAGATTTTATTGATTTTTCAAATTTGTTTTTAAAATTTAAATTTATTCCACATGTTTTTATGAAAGTTTTTTATACATAATTTTAATTGTACTTTACAAGAAAAAAGTTACTTCTTGCAGTCCACTGTATTGTTCTGTAAACTTAAAATAAGTAAATAAAATATTCTATTATAACAATATTATTATTTACATATTGCTGAAATTATTTTAGTTTACGGTTTTAATCACGATTTTCTGAAAAATAGAGGAAAGGATGTCTCCTCTCGTTACTGCGACAAAAGACTCGTGATGATCAATTACCATAAAAACCAACCAAAACTATTGGCTTGAAATTTGTCTCTAAGAGAAAAACAGAATGTAACTAAAACAGAAATATGAAAATTATGGGAAAGTGAAGAACAAATGGATTTCTAAAATATTTTTTCGAATTTAAATCAAATCAAAAATACTTTTTGAACTAATAATTTTGAATATATTTTAATTTAACAATTAGTTTTACACAAGGAATTACAATGAAATATCAAATGCAACAGTTACAATTTCTGGATAAAATTAATAACATTGGAGATTTCCTTCGAGTTTAAATTAAGATGTAACCAGGATCCATATCGAATAAAACTAGTCGCCGGAGGTACTGGTGAACTTTTAGTGGAGCTCGATTATTGTATTTGTGAATTGGAAAACTGTAAGTAGCCGAAAAATGACTGATTTGAAGAAGTGGATATTTGCAAATAGATTATCCTTGAATTTAATTATATGTTTACTAATAATTGCCGGGATTGAATCCAATCCAGAATCTTTACCTCGATCTCCGCAACAAATGAGCAAAGAGGGTATGCAAAAAAGAGGGTGTGGCAGACCACGCAAGGATAATTCGAAAGAAATGGAAAAAGAAAAACAATTGGACGATTTAATGAGCGAAGATTATTATCAATTTGAGGAGGATTATTGTAAAAGCAGTCTTCCGGCTACGAGAACTACGAAAATACACGAATATTTCGAAACATTAAGAGATACAGAACCACAGGTACAAGAAGAGTCCCGATATACATTAAAATCGATATGTGAATTAATACAGGAAAATTTTTTTAGTTTAATATAGAATTGCAAGGAATTAAGACGGAAGTTAATTCACTGAAAGAGGAAAACAAATATTTTCAAGGGGAATTGACAAAATTGTTCCAAAAAATAGAAGAAATGGAAGAAATATCCAAGAATAACAGCCAAATAAAAGGTATGTTGAAATTTGAAATAAACAAATTGGTAAACGAGAGAAATAGCAAAAATATCATAATTAAAAACTTCCCGTTTAATTCGATAGACTGTGTAAAGGAAATTAACCAGTTCATAAAAGAGGATTTGGGAATAACAAACAGATCTATAGAAAGCTTAATTAGACTAACCAAAAATGAAATAAAACCTATCATGAAAATTTCATTATATTCCTTATACGTCAGAAATTCGGTTCTTAAAAAATTCTGGAAAATGAAAGTTAACTTCAATAACGAGGAGAGGAAAAAATAATATTTACCGCAGACTTACATAAGAGATCAAGATTGAGGAGGAAAACATTACAAGCAATAATCAAATAAAAAAAAATTCAATGAAAATAGAATAATAACAAGGGAAGACTATTATATAAAGGATAAAAAATATACACATATGATGCTAAGTTTGATAAAGTGGTTTTTTTAGGAAGGAAATCACTAACACTTCAGAATTAATGGTTTGAAAGAAGCAATAGACAAACGAAATATTAAAACAAAAAGAACAGACAATTTACAATCAGACAATAACAAAATAGCAATTTAACAGACAGATAAACAGACAGAAATAGCAATTTAATCGAAACTTTCCTTCCAAAAATAATATACCGCAATGACAGCATTAAATTATTTATAGGATTTTAGAATATCCGAGGACTACAAGAAAAACTCTATAGAGATTCTTTAAAGAATATATGAACATTCATTCAATTATTGGCTTTACAGAGACATGGATAACCAAAATGAAAGAGGAAGATAAGAATATATAGAATAAGAATGCGCAGTGTTATTTAGCAAGGTACAGTACAAAGAGTTAGAAGATTCAGCCGACCATCTGGAGGCCTTTTCTTGCTAATCAAAAAACAAATTGGAGAGTTGCTACAATAATATATAACTGAACATTTTATATTTACTATAATAAATACTGGGCAAAGATTAAGTCAATTTGGAAAGATTGAAGGGAGGAGAGATTGGTATTATACTCGTATACGAGTATAATACCAATCTCTCCTCCCTTCAATTGAAAAAAGTCAAGTTTACAAGAAATTCAAAAAATCACCGCACAATGGTCTAATGTGTGGCTAATAGAAGGAAATTTCAATAGTCGAATTAAAGAGAAGTTAGATTCAAAATATAAAGGAAGAAATGTCAATATTAATTAACAATAGGAGTGTATCTAAGGACAAAACAGATAATAGATAGAAGAATCCTTCTGGACTTTGTTCAAGAAAACGAATTTAATATTTTAAAAGGTAGATTTAACGATAATTTTCCTTCCGAATACACCTTTTGTAGCACATACGAGTAAATCGATAATAGACTATATTATTTGCTCTGAATTTGTTTTAGATCAGTGTATAACGATGAAGACACTAGACTTAGATGATTCAGATCATTTTCCAATACAATTGGAATTAAAAGGAAATTCAGAAAGATTAAACAAATTTCAGATATATACACAAAATCAGAAATTAAGGATTTATCCTTAATTCCTGATTTTGTGTACGAAAATTTAATAAACAGAGGTTTTTAAGAGAAATTGAAAATAATGCTAATGATATACTATCACAGGAGGAGAATAAAAAAAAAACGATAAATAATTATAATAATCTAATGGTGCTACTAGAATCCTATGGGCTTAAGAGGTATAAAAAGAATGATATCAAAATTTAAACAAAGCTGGTATGATAACAAATGTTGCTATTATAAAATTAAAAAAGGGAAGAGTCTGTAACAATTTAGAAAAACTTAGAAAAATCATTCGAAAAATATTTAGAAAACGAGAATTTATAGAAATTATATAAAGAAAAAATATTTCTCTGAAGTAAGTGATTCATTAATAAAATTAAAAGATACAAAATCATTCTGGAACACCATAAATTGATTTCGCAGACCTTTTCTAAATACTAGTGAAAATATTCTGGTTCCATTTAACAGTTATCGATATTTTAAGAAATTTTCGGACAATTATTTACGTAAACACAGAATGAATATTTTTTATAATATCCAATCAATGAATGAACCATATGAAGAGGTGTTCAATGTAGACAATTTATATTCTAATATTAAAAAATTAAAAAAAGCTTTAGGCTACGATTCCATTCCCAATTTTATAATAAAAAATTTACCGTTGAATATCATTAATTATTTAACTAGACAATTTAATGACCTATACAATTTAGGTAAGATTCCAAATGGTTGGAATAAAGTTATTCTTTATATGCTATTCAAAAAAGGAGAGGGAAAACAGCCAAATAATTATCGACCAATAGCACTATTGTCTGATTTTCGCAAATTGTTTACTTCGGTTTAATTGACAAGATTTAATGACTGGTCTGAAAAGAATAATTATAAAAATCATACTCAATTCGCTCTATTAAAGACGGGGGCACTCAATTGGCTCTCTTAGTTCTGATTGCAATAATTCAACTACAACTTCGTAAAAAAAGACATAAAGTGTTTGCCTTATTTCTGGATATCGAAAAAGCTTATGATTCGGTGATTATTTCAAATTTACAAAGGAAAATGATTAAATACCAGGAAAAAGATAACATTATAAAAATAATAGGATTATTATTTCGCCAATACGAAGTAGTGATCAAACAAGATAATTTTCAATGGCCGCTTTTGATATAGACCGTGGCTTATTACAAGGAGATCCCTTATTACAAGGTCACCACATTCGTTTAATTTCTATATGTTCGATTCTAATGACTGTTTTAACAGAGATGATGATTTTATATTCGAGAAACAAGTAACACATTCGATATCTTATGCAGATAATATAGTGATTATTGCCCCGACAGCTGCTGCCTTACGTAGAAAAATACATGCTTTGAATGAGTACTGCGAAGAATTAAAATTAAAAATCAATCCTAGCAAATCATTTGTAATGATATTTCGAAACGGAACCAGACTTCCTAAGAAACACATCTCTTTTTACCTCAACAACGAAGATTTAAAAATAGTTCAAGATCAATTTTCTGGGAATTATTTTAACACCTACATTGTTATTTGAAAAACAATACAAAAAGACCATGATCAAATCCAACGCACTGATTAATAACATGGTGAAATTATTTACTAAGAATAAATTGCAGAATATTATAGTTCATTTTAAATTATTCGACTCTCTAATTATGAATGCTATAGGATACGNAGATTTTATTAAAAAAGAATAGTCTTTAAGACTGTAAAATTACTTCACTTCGAATAGAATGAAAATTCTAATATTTATCGCTATTTTCTTTTCTGACAGATGTTTGTAACGATTTTTTATCGTACAAATTTTTATTAAAGTAAAATATTAGATGTTTAAGTCTATCAGTTTCTTTCAGAAAAGTATTGTTAATAAAAATCAATGTATTTATTTCAAAAATAATGTGATTTGAATGTTATATAAATTCATTTAAAATATATATATTATTAGTTTTATTTTATTATTATCTGATTTTATATTTTTGTAGATTTGATAATGTTAAAAATCATTTCTTAATCAAAATAATTTATTAATATAAGCATTGATATTGATGGCATGAACGAAGGAGTCTTTAACAATAATAATAACACGAGTATAAAAATTCACATTTATAATTGAATTCGGATATTTGATACGTATTAGCTATAAATATTTGATTTAGACAAATCTTTAATTTGTCTAAATTATTATGAGACTGACTCGCTTTGTATAAACAAACTGTAAAACTTATAAGAAAAATTAAAGTATATTCAAGAGAAGTATTGAGGCAATTATAGCAGGAGGGAAAAGAGTTGAAAAAGTGATATGGAGATGGAATGGAAAGGTTTAGAACACAGATAATTAAAGCGTTTATGACAAAATTAAACAATAGATACTCTAATTTATAGGAAAGCTAAAGCCAATGCCAAAAAATCAGATATAGATAAATTCAAAAACTAGCAGGAATTTTGTAAAAACTCGAAGAAGAAAAGTTAGAAGAAAAATAAAGTTTCTGAAAATGTAGTTTGCTTCGGGAAGAGTAGTAGGTTACAACTTTCATCTATTTGCATATAGAATAGGTTATGAGAATGTTTCTGTAAACCTTAGAACAATGGAATAAATAACATCCGATAGGAAGCCAAACTAGCAAAGAAATCGAAATAGAAGTATAGAATGCATTAAGAAAGATGAAGATAGAAAAATGGTAAAACCGTACAAAATTCCACTGGTACTTTGGAAATTAGAATTAAGCGTGTTGTAGAGGTTATTTAATATGTTAAAATTTGGTGATACGGTATCAGATGAGTGCATAAACAGTCGAATATGACATTTAAGAGAACATTTAAGAGAAAATGTGTTCTTAGCGAGTCTAGTAATGAACTAGGACTACTTAATGAAAATATTTTAAACAAAATAGAGAATTGGGAAAAAGTTCCTAATGTAAGAAAAAATTTATAATAATAAATTTTTGTTTATGCCTATTAATAGATCTACAATGGATCTATTTTAATACGTAGTCAACCAGATTATAGAGAAGTATAGCAAAAGTAAAAAGGATTTATATAAGATATTCATATACTTTCGAAAACTTATGATAGATTCTAAAAAAAGAACATACGAGAAGTTTTAAGAAAAAGAAGAATAAATGAGAGCTGTAAGGATAATTCAAGATATTTATTACGGAATAGAAATAAGAAATAGGTCAAGTTAAAGTAATTCAAAAAGTTTTAGAGTAGGTTTGCATTAAGATTCAATGTTGAGTCCATATATTTATTTTACTTTTTGATTGCTTACTCAAGGAAACAGCTGGAAGATCAAGTTGGTAGTTAAGAATAATTAAAAATAAATTTTTTAAATGCAAGCTGAAAACGAAACTTATTATATATTCCTTGGTTAAAGGACTTAAATCACTTAATCAAAAAATTATTTGAATTCAAACTATATATAGTTATAAGATATTAAATAAAAATAATGACCCCATAAAGCATTCAAATCAGCATTATTGGTTTTTAGAATTAGATAAAAAATTTTCAATAATAGAAAATAAGAGTTTCATATTTAATTTTGGATTTTTTTTAGAGTGGGCCTAAAAGTGCTTATACCAAAACGTTTTCTAATATTCAAAGTAGGCTAGAAAAAGAGATTTAACAGTATTATACTATGTAATTGAAAAAAAATCTGTTATGTCGTTTTTGTATGGTTTCTATAAACTAGTTTCGCGGCGCTTCTATTCAAAGTTCGCATGATTTTCAAATATTATATACAGCTATTATCTCAAAATTACAGTTTATCTCACTTAGAAAGCACATTTTAAAAATAGATATTAATTTAATGCTAAAACTTAAAATAATTAAATGATTTCAAACTAAAAATTATGTTCTTTTTCACGAGAAAACATTTCTATCGACTAAATGGTATTATGTGGATATCCGATATCTCAATTAATTTTCACTTCATTTCTAGTCAGATATAGTAATATTAGATTGTTATTGAGACAAAGGTAATCCATAGTGAGATAAACGAAAACGTCACCGTAACAGTATGGATTGTGAAACAGGATCATTAAAAAATTCTGATTCACTTCTCTTTTATAATATCCTCCAACTTTTATAATATTTATCACAATTTACCATATTTCTTCTACCCTGGTATGCTATTTTATAATAGATAAAATCGTTTTGATGTTTACTACTTATCAGCACAAATAAACAATTCTTATGTTCAAAAAGATCTAGTATTTTAATTATTTTGATTTAAAAACATGAAAATGAAAACGTGACAAAAATTTATTGTTTAGTTTGTAAAGAATAAAGAAATAGTCAATTAAAATTATACATTGCCCCGCATTGTATAATTTTAATCGACTATTTCTTGTTTTACGATTTTTACAAGTATTTTTTACGATTACAAGTATTTTTACAATTACAAGTATTTTTACGATTACAAGTATTTTTACGATTACAAGTATTTTTACGATTACAAGTATTTTTTACGATTACAAGTATTTTTTTTTCAATTACTTACTCGTACGCCATCACAACGTGTTGTTTGTGACGTCGTGACAGTAGTTCCGGCACACTATTGGCTGAGCTCAAGTTTGACTTCTGAAAAATTTCCATAGACGTGATACTAAGCTACAGTACCTCTGTCCAAAACAAGATATATTCGGAAACGTAAATATCTTTATTACATTTAAAATTTTTCAATATTTTATTACGTTTTTTCATTTTTAAGATATTTGGAAAAAAAATAAATATCGTATAATATGAAGATAGAATTATTAAGAGAGGTATGAAGTTTGAGAACAGTGTTTAATAAGAAACAGATAATTCAATATGGTTAAAAATAATAAATCGAATATATTTGAATTATATTTTGGAGTTTACGCAATAAAATTATAAAATCTTATTAGAGAAAGAAAGCATAAAATATATAAAGTTAATGTGTACGAGAATATCGGAACATAGGAATAATATGTCTAGAGTTGTGGACAAGTCTTGCTGAGAAGCATATAATAAAATATACATACGATATGAATCGAGATAAAATTATTATATGGAAAATACGAAAGGACAATATTGTAAATGATGGAATAACTATTTATGTATCTGGACTGGACATGAATTACAATGTTGGAAATCGAAACGGTGATAAAAAGTTATCGGAAGTGTGGAATGGTACACTAAAGAAAATAAGACAGAAAGAGGAATATTTACTGAAATTAAAAAATAAATATGAATGTTGATAAGAAAATCATATATTATTATAATGTTAAAATTTATGCACTATGAAGTTGAAATATTTCATGATGTAAGAAAAGAATTTTAGAAATTTTAAAAATGTAACTGGAAAATTGTTTTTTTTTTTTTTTTAATATCTGAATGTCGAACTTATAATTTATAAATAATAAAATAATAAAAGTTTTTATTATTATACTTTTTTAAAAACTTAAAACAAATACAAACTTAAATCGCTGATGACAGAAGTGCACTTTCAGGAACGTTTCAGTGTAAATAATTTTTAATTCCTAAAAAATTTAATGTTTCGAAGAGTAAAATTTGTAATTTAAAAAATATTAATAAGAGAAAGGAATACAGAACCATTAATGTTTATTTTACAGATTGGGATTTCATATTTAATTAACTTTATAAAAATTTAAGATGTTCTCGATAATATTTTTAACATCCAATAATTAGTCTGTTTATGATTTAAAGATTTTTAACTAAATAGAACAATTATCCAAGGCTTAGTGTTCATTAAAGCTTGTATAATTGTTCTATTTAGTTATATTAATATTAATGTAAATATTTACTTATTTTCAATATAACTTAATGTTTTGATTAAGTTATATTGAATATAAGGAAACATTAACATATTTAATGCAGTATTATAATTGTATTCTGTTTAATATATTTTTTTAAAATATAGTACAGAATATAATTATAATAAATTTAAAAGAATAAGAATTTATACATAGACACAATTCTAGCACAAACGTCCAATGATACACGATTTTGCTAGGTTGTTTCTATGCAGACACCTAGCAAAAATGTCATAACAATCCTAGCTAAAAACGTCATAACAATCCTCCCAACATAACAATTCGTTCATTCTCTTTAGGGCGAATGATAATTGAATTGCTATGCTGAAATAGTAATTCCATGCTACATATTGTAGAATTTCGTAGTAGATGCAAATACAGTAAATAAATAAAAATAAACATATTTTTTTTTTAAGAAACAGTGAAGAATTCTGCTGAGTTGTATAGTGTCTATGTACAATATTGTAAATATCAATAGTTTTCTGTAAATATTTTATGTAAATAAATATACAGTTTGTAATAATATAGATTCTTGACTAAGTTATTGATGTCTGCTCTGCCAAAAAACGGAAATACGCAGCTGTAACTCCTTCGGGAAGAAATCCAGGATAGCAAGCGTGGAGTCAACTGACCAACTTCCGGATAACCGAATAGATTGGAGAAACCTCAAAAAGAACTTTGCGAGAAAGCAACCACCGAGTAAAGTTCTGAACTTTAGTAATATAAATACTGTACCAATTTAATTAAATTAATATAAATATTATTTAAAATATGAAATAAATTTATTTTAATACTAAGGAATAAATATTATAATTTAATTTTCTTAATTTGCGATAAGAAGAGGTTAAATTCTATTAGCAAACAATTTAATTATCGAAAAACGAGCTTAATTAAAAATTGGTTTTCCAAGACCGATTATTTATACTATCATAGGCATATTCAGTATATCCTGTTTTATATCAAACAGCATGCAAAATAATTTGATTGAATTAAGAATAAAAATACTGTTTTTAATTTTGTAACGTTTCCTAAACAGTTTCGTAGGAGTAAATCTTCAAAGATTGACAATAAGTTCGTAACTGATAAATAAATATTAAATATATTTATTTTGGTTTATTGATTAAATTCTTCGGGTAATTTTAGTGCCTACAACATCATTTGAATTTAAAGTTTTATGACTGAAAACTCATTAGTACAGGTTCACTAGCATTCGTTTCGTCAAATTGAATGTTTATCGTGTAAAGAATAGACAAAAATATTATAACATTAATTATAAATACAGTATTTCATTTAAAAGGTTTGAAAGTGAATATAGTAAATCATATCTTACAAATATCATTATTATTCAAAACTGAATAGAATTATTAAGATAAATATTATTTTCAAAATATTTTCTGAATAAGTAAACCGTTTGCCATTATTATGTATATCAAGGAATCTGTTATTACTAATAAGATTAAATATTTAAAATTAAATTCCTAAATTCATAAGGGAAATAATTTAAAATTTGAATAAATGAAGCAATATAATTTTAAATATGTTAATATTTACACTTACTCAAATTTTAAATGTTATGATATTTTGTTGAATTCACTCGTAGTTACGGCTAGCATTTTAACGCACTTAAAGATAATTTTAAATGTGTATTTTGCTTTTATACTTTTATACAAATAAATTATACTCTATAACTCTTGCCAGAGAGCATGGCTCAGTATAGCAATTACTATTAAATAAATAAATAAAAATATTTGTTGTATATGTAAATATAGTATCATACAAGTAGGTCATATCTAGCTTTTATTTGTAATGTCATATATTTTGTAAAAATATTTTCTATTTAACGTGAGATTTTATTGATTTTTCAAATTTGTTTTTAAAATTTAAATTTATTCCACATGTTTTTATGAAAGTTTTTTATACATAATTTTAATTGTACTTTACAAGAAAAAAGTTACTTCTTGCAGTCCACTGTATTGTTCTGTAAACTTAAAATAAGTAAATAAAATATTCTATTATAACAATATTATTATTTACATATTGCTGAAATTATTTTAGTTTACGGTTTTAATCACGATTTTCTGAAAAATAGAGGAAAGGATGTCTCCTCTCGTTACTGCGACAAAAGACTCGTGATGATCAATTACCATAAAAACCAACCAAAACTATTGGCTTGAAATTTGTCTCTAAGAGAAAAACAGAATGTAATTAAAACAGAAATATGAAAATTATGGGAAAGTGAAGAACAAATGGATTTCTAAAATATTTTTTCGAATTTAAATCAAATCAAAAATACTTTTTGAACTAATAATTTTGAATATATTTTAATTTAACAATTAGTTTTACACAAGGAATTACAATGAAATATCAAATGCAACAGTTACAATTTCTGGATAAAATTAATAACATTGGAGATTTCCTTCGAGTTTAAATTAAGATGTAACCAGGATCCATATCGAATAAAACTAGTCGCCGGAGGTACTGGTGAACTTTTAGTGGAGCTCGATTATTGTATTTGTGAATTGGAAAACTGTAAGTAGCCGAAAAATGACTGATTTGAAGAAGTGGATATTTGCAAATAGATTATCCTTGAATTTAATTATATGTTTACTAATAATTGCCGGGATTGAATCCAATCCAGAATCTTTACCTCGATCTCCGCAACAAATGAGCAAAGAGGGTATGCAAAAAAGAGGGTGTGGCAGACCACGCAAGGATAATTCGAAAGAAATGGAAAAAGAAAAACAATTGGACGATTTAATGAGCGAAGATTATTATCAATTTGAGGAGGATTATTGTAAAAGCAGTCTTCCGGCTACGAGAACTACGAAAATACACGAATATTTCGAAACATTAAGAGATACAGAACCACAGGTACAAGAAGAGTCCCGATATACATTAAAATCGATATGTGAATTAATACAGGAAAATTTTTTTAGTTTAATATAGAATTGCAAGGAATTAAGACGGAAGTTAATTCACTGAAAGAGGAAAACNTTATAAAAAATATTCATTCTGTGTTTACGTAAATAATTGTCCGAAAATTTCTTAAAATATCGATAACTGTTAAATGGAACCAGAATATTTTCACTAGTATTTAGAAAAGGTCTGCGAAATCAATTTATGGTGTTCCAGAATGATTTTGTATCTTTTAATTTTATTAATGAATCACTTACTTCAGAGAAATATTTTTTCTTTATATAATTTCTATAAATTCTCGTTTTCTAAATATTTTTCGAATGATTTTTCTAAGTTTTTCTAAATTGTTACAGACTCTTCCCTTTTTTAATTTTATAATAGCAACATTTGTTATCATACCAGCTTTGTTTAAATTTTGATATCATTCTTTTTATACCTCTTAAGCCCATAGGATTCTAGTAGCACCATTAGATTATTATAATTATTTATCGTTTTTTTTAATTCTCCTCCTGTGATAGTATATCATTAGCATTATTTTCAATTTCTCTTAAAAACCTCTGTTTATTAAATTTTCGTACACAAAATCAGGAATTAAGGATAAATCCTTAATTTCTGATTTTGTGTATATATCTGAAATTTGTTTAATCTTTCTGAATTTCCTTTTAATTCCAATTGTATTGGAAAATGATCTGAATCATCTAAGTCTAGTGTCTTCATCGTTATACACTGATCTAAAACAAATTCAGAGCAAATAATATAGTCTATTATCGATTTACTCGTATGTGCTACAAAAGGTGTATTCGGAAGGAAAATTACCGTTAAATCTACCTTTTAAAATATTAAATTCGTTTTCTTGAACAAAGTCCAGAAGGATTCTTCTATCTATTATCTGTTTTGTCCTTAGATACACTCCTATAGTTAATTAATATTGACATTTCTTCCTTTATATTTTGAATCTAACTTCTCTCCAATTCGACTATTGAAATTTCCTTCTATTAGCCACACATTAGACCATTGTGCGGTGATTTTTTGAATTTCTTGTAAACTTGACTTTTTTCAATTGAAGGGAGGAGAGATTGGTATTATACTCGTATACGAGTATAATACCAATCTCTCCTCCCTTCAATTGAAAAAAGTCAAGTTTACAAGAAATTCAAAAAATCACCGCACAATGGTCTAATGTGTGGCTAATAGAAGGAAATTTCAATAGTCGAATTGGAGAGAAGTTAGATTCAAAATATAAAGGAAGAAATGTCAATATTAATTAACTATAGGAGTGTATCTAAGGACAAAACAGATAATAGATAGAAGAATCCTTCTGGACTTTGTTCAAGAAAACGAATTTAATATTTTAAAAGGTAGATTTAACGATAATTTTCCTTCCGAATACACCTTTTGTAGCACATACGAGTAAATCGATAATAGACTATATTATTTGCTCTGAATTTGTTTTAGATCAGTGTATAACGATGAAGACACTAGACTTAGATGATTCAGATCATTTTCCAATACAATTGGAATTAAAAGGAAATTCAGAAAGATTAAACAAATTTCAGATATATACACAAAATCAGAAATTAAGGATTTATCCTTAATTCCTGATTTTGTGTACGAAAATTTAATAAACAGAGGTTTTTAAGAGAAATTGAAAATAATGCTAATGATATACTATCACAGGAGGAGAATTAAAAAAAACGATAAATAATTATAATAATCTAATGGTGCTACTAGAATCCTATGGGCTTAAGAGGTATAAAAAGAATGATATCAAAATTTAAACAAAGCTGGTATGATAACAAATGTTGCTATTATAAAATTAAAAAAGGGAAGAGTCTGTAACAATTTAGAAAAACTTAGAAAAATCATTCGAAAAATATTTAGAAAACGAGAATTTATAGAAATTATATAAAGAAAAAATATTTCTCTGAAGTAAGTGATTCATTAATAAAATTAAAAGATACAAAATCATTCTGGAACACCATAAATTGATTTCGCAGACCTTTTCTAAATACTAGTGAAAATATTCTGGTTCCATTTAACAGTTATCGATATTTTAAGAAATTTTCGGACAATTATTTACGTAAACACAGAATGAATATTTTTTATAATATCCAATCAATGAATGAACCATATGAAGAGGTGTTCAATGTAGACAATTTATATTCTAATATTAAAAAATTAAAAAAAGCTTTAGGCTACGATTCCATTCCCAATTTTATAATAAAAAATTTACCGTTGAATATCATTAATTATTTAACTAGACAATTTAATGACCTATACAATTTAGGTAAGATTCCAAATGGTTGGAATAAAGTTATTCTTTATATGCTATTCAAAAAAGGAGAGGGAAAACAGCCAAATAATTATCGACCAATAGCACTATTGTCTGATTTTCGCAAATTGTTTACTTCGGTTTAATTGACAAGATTTAATGACTGGTCTGAAAAGAATAATTATAAAAATCATACTCAATTCGCTCTATTAAAGACGGGGACACTCAATTGGCTCTCTTAGTTCTGATTGCAATAATTCAACTACAACTTCGTAAAAAAAGACATAAAGTGTTTGCCTTATTTCTGGATATCGAAAAAGCTTATGATTCGGTGATTATTTCAAATTTACAAAGGAAAATGATTAAATACCAGGAAAAAGATAACATTATAAAAATAATAGGATTATTATTTCGCCAATACGAAGTAGTGATCAAACAAGATAATTTTCAATGGCCGCTTTTGATAAAGACCGTGGCTTATTACAAGGAGATCCCTTATTACAAGGTCACCACATTCGTTTAATTTCTATATGTTCGATTCTAATGACTGTTTTAACAGAGATGATGATTTTATATTCGAGAAACAAGTAACACATTCGATATCTTATGCAGATAATATAGTGATTATTGCCCCGACAGCTGCTGCCTTACGTAGAAAAATACATGCTTTGAATGAGTACTGCGAAGAATTAAAATTAAAAATCAATCCTAGCAAATCATTTGTAATGATATTTCGAAACGGAACCAGACTTCCTAAGAAACACATCTCTTTTTACCTCAACAACGAAGATTTAAAAATAGTTCAAGATCAATTTTCTGGGAATTATTTTAACACCTACATTGTTATTTGAAAAACAATACAAAAAGACCATAATCAAATCCACACACTGATTAATAACATGGTGAAATTATTTACTAAGAATAATAATAATTTAAAATTAAGTATAATAAACACTATAATTATGAATACTATAGGATACGCTTCACCGATCTGGAGTATAACTATCAAAAGCTAGATATAATTCAGAATAAATTTATTCGCAAAATCTCGTTAGAATACAATATTCCCAGAAGTGCACTTAGATTGGAATTAAACAGATTTAAACTCTGCCCATTTTTTATAAAAAGACTTGTTAAATTTTTTTTCTGTGATAAGAGACTATAAAAAATTACCAGCTATGTTACCAAGATTATTATATCAAAAAAGAACTACCGATGCTCAGAGAAAAACTGGGTAGGCCAAATATCAAAAACACTTATGGTTTTTCCATAGGGTCATTTATGGAAAAAACCGAGATGAGTGAACTATTCAGTTCTCAACTGATACAAAATGCTTTTGAAATTTCACTGTCTCAAGATATCAGTAATCTTCATAACCGAAAAAGTCCTGAGTGGTACAATACAATCTTAGAATATCACATATTAATGGTTATATGCTCACGAATTTACTCTTTAAAATAAAAAAAATTATTCATTCAGCTAAGATTAAACAAAGAGATGATAATAAATCAATAATAATAATTCCGAGTTTTTTTAATCGTTGCTGCCATAGATTCAGGGATACATTTTCCAAAATTCACATGTTTTCTATATGTAAGGAAGTCCTGGAGTTACGAGGCAGATACAACCTCCGAGCATTGGATAATGTCACCAATGAAAATACTATGTATTTATTTTTTCATACAGCAAAAATTGTAACTATATATAATTTATATAACTACGCTAAAAATTTATTGTAGCTGAGTAATATTATATGTAAACTTAAATAATCAAACTAATAATAATAATAAAATAGATGTTAATGCTAATGATAATAGGCAAGAAATAAATTTTATCAGAAATAATATATTATATGATAAAACCAACTGTGGTTTATCATCATCTGAAACCGTATTGTAACAGGTTACAACCTATTACGAATAAAGTTATTGATTGATTGATATCGAATAAAACATGTTAAAATTTTGATTCTTGTCTTTTTGTATTTTAATGCTTATAAACTTCTATATCGGCTTCTAATCTGAGAACTTATTGCACCTTTAGGGAAATGTTTTCACTTAGACCCAAAAGACCTTTTCTTTGCTGTTCTACTTTATTAAATAAGCATTGCGGACAGTTATATCCCTCTTCAGTTTAATGTACAGTAGATGATTTTCGGGTTAAAAGTTCTTTTACAACTACATTACATTTTTAAAAGAGAAAGATTATAATATATTCACATAAATTTTTTAAATTTTTGAATAGTCTACTCACATTCACTAAATACTATATATTCATATGTTGTTAAATATATATATATTTTATCAATTACTTTTATTACATTCTTATTTTTGTTGGTTTTATTTAAAACGTTATCTTGTTCAAGCATGTCAAACGTTTGTCATTTATGTTAAATTTCAAATAAAGTTATCTCGTAATTAACCATCTTAGTCATTAATACATTTAATAAAATCTAACATCTCTGTACTAAAACTATAGTTCACTCTATCTGAATTTTAAATTATTTGATAAGTACATAATAGCTTTGTTTTTATAGAATCATCACTCTTGTATTGGTTGTCCGAACACTACACCTTAGCATAAAGCAAAATTTGAGAAATATAACGCTAATAAATTGATAATTGAAAATCGTCAACATAATCAAAAGTTCTAGTCATTTTCATTAAATAAACATAAAGTTTAAAGAAGATTTATTTAGGAAAGTGAACAGGTGTCCTAGACTTCATTTTGTCTCGTTGTCTATTTATTCTCGTCTTCGTGAAAAGGAAGAAACTTTTCAATAAAAACTTTTAGTCATACAATTGTGATGCTAACATCAAATAAAGTCACTAACATCTCTGTTCAAGGATTTATACGAACCAATGAAGAGCAATTGTTTTACTTTTGAAATACTTGAGAAACAGTTCTTCAATAATGTATAACTTTTGCACTGGTATCGATATACATGTTAATATTAAATACTCTTCTACTGTAATTATATTCATATTTAAGAGCTAATAGATGAAAACTTTCCTTTATCCATCAGTTCTCTTGTTAATTATTGTGCATGTTGTTAACAGTCTCATGTTTCTATTGTTGATTGAGTTTAACATAATGGTTTAAACAGAACAATTTTAACAAAACATGCAAGATATATTGACGTTCACTGTAACGTTAGTACCTTTAACCGTTATTAAAATCTTTCTTTAAGAAAATATTTTCAGAATAAGAACGTAAATTACTCGAACCACATGATTTTGAACCACATAACCACATACATTTGAATCAACCAACGATACAATAAAGAAAAACTAATTAACTAGCTGTTATACTAACAGCAACAAAACAAAAACAATTTATAGGATGTACCAAATTACATTAGGGCATTTCAATTGCTTCTATGGGAAATAAAAAGCGTGCTTGTTATATTATTTGCTCATGTTAGCCGAGTTTCAATCGGAGACGCAATTAAGATCTAAAACCAGTTAAATTTCAAATAAAGTTAAGACAGTTAAAGTTAAAGTTAAAGATCTAAAGTTAAAGTTAAAGATCTAAAACCAGTTAAATTTCAAATAAAGTTAAGACAGTTAAAGTTAAAGTTAAGACAGTTTTTTTATATTTGCTTGCCCATAAAGATATAACTTTTATTTTCTTTTAAACGTGTTGATAATGTGTGATTAGTGGTTCCTATATAGTTAAGTTATAATCAAAGTCCAAAGAAATAAGGAAATAAGAGCTAACGATAAAGTGAAGTGATAACATTTTCTTTAGGCTTCATTAAGTAATTTGTACGTTAAATTACTCTAGAATATTACCTCGGTGTTGCATTACTAAAGGTGTACAGATTGATTTTTTTAAGTGGGGTAATTTGAAAGCTGTCATTATGAACACATTTGTTGCATAAGGTTCAAATTTTGTCACATCGGTGAAAGAAGACGGAGTTTCAATAGATAGTTTTATCACGTGAAAATCCGACAAATGTGAAAATGACATTGACCATGGAACAACGCGCTGTATCCTTTGGTATGCAAACTATTGCTCCTGTATTGCTTACAAGATGTGCAAGCAATATGGAACTGGAATAAAGGTAGAGGGCTGTCCGTAGACTTAGCCACAAGAGGAAGGAAGGTATGGAGTGGGGTATAGAAGGGAGAGGGAGTGGGAGGGAGAAAGGGTTGAACGTAGAGTAAAGGTGGGTCCCATTCACTTTGCGCATTGCACTAAATGATAAAAGAACATAAAATATGTACAAGACAGAGTAGCCCTTTGGGTAAGGTCCTAGACACTAGAGGTGAGTAGAAACAGGACAATAAGTGTAGTGCATACGTAGGATTGCATATACATAGTTGGGATGATGCATGAATCGTCGTCCTTGAGAGTCCACATGACCAGACGAGTCCGTTAATTGGGGTGAACGAGGTTAGTGCAGCTTTCGACGAACTTAACGAAGTGCCTTTGGTCTTGCACAAGAAGTCCGGCTCAGGTGGCCATGATTGTCCGTGGTGTAGGCAGTACGTAATAAGTTCACCTCTGTTGGCGTCTTGGTCTGGGCAGTCGAAGAGGTAGTGTAGGGCGTTCCCTTCGGTTGTAGTGTTACATTTGCAGCAAGGGTTGTCCTTTTTTCCAATTCTGTACAGAAAAACAGGAAAGTTCCCATGGCCGGTCAAGCATTGGGTGAGCGGGTAAGAGGGATTAACATGATGAAGCTTGTGCCTTTCCTTAATGTTCGGGAAAAACTTGTAGGTTATTCTGCCTGTTGTTGAGGAGTCCCATTCTGTTTGCCAAACGTTTATGCATTTTTCATTGACGATTTTGTGAATATGGGAAATGGGGTAACAGTGGTAGGTTGGAGTAAGATTTAGTTTGGTGGCTTTCACCGCTAGCTCATCGGCTCTATCGTTTCCTTTAACATTGCTATGTCCTGGTATCCATGTGAAACTGATTTTTCTTCTTTTGCTCAAGCTATTACCCAATAACTTGGTTTTGAGTCCAATGTTAAAATGCCTATAGCTTTCTTTTAGCGTATTGATGACGTAGCGGCTGTCCGTGTAAAAGTTTATTCTCTCTTTATAATTGTTCAAGTTATTAGTGATGTTCTTGAGGGCCTTGTTCATGGCCCAGAGCTCCGCCTGGTTATTTGAGCAGTGATTTAAAAGCTTGTAGTATTCTTCATGGATGGTATTGCCCTTGCTAGCATCGTATACAACGAATGCTGCCCCCGTGCCATCCCCGTTCTTCGCTCTGTCAGTATACACATGCCAGTTGTAATCCCCGCTGTTCGGGTCTATGCTATTATTTTCCCAGTTAGTTGTGTTTATCGCCGGATGGTAGAGGATTCCTTGCCTGGGTAATATTTATCGATTCCATGCTTCTTTATATCCAATAATAGATCTAAGCTGTTTCCTGGGTATTCATCTTTTTGGATAGCGGTTTTTAGATTTTCCTCTGTAAGCCTTTCTATGTTGTTGTTCAAAATATTCCATTTCCAGAAGATCGCTTTAATCTTTATATGGATAGGCATGATGTTGGCGATTACAAGCAGTGCGTCCGTTGGCGCAGTCCTATACGCCCTGCATATTCGGATGGCTAAGCTCCTCTGGACCGAGAGGAGACGCCGTTTGTTTTGTGCCAGGGAAGCCCTTTTCCCCCAAATTTGAGCCGCATATAGCAGAGCAGGCTCAATGGCTCCTTTATAAATGGTAGTGCAGCTTTTTGCGCCTAGTCCCCACGTGTTTCTGGCTATATGATATAGCATATTCGCTCTTTGTTTTGCCTTCTTGCAAATTTCCTCTATATGTTGCTTCCAACTCAGGGTTGAATCGTGGATAGCACCCAGGTACTTTAGGTGGGAGGTTATCTTTATTCTATGTCC